TAACTCCAAGTCAATCACACTTCTGTGAAATCAAACTGTCCACTTAGGTAGCAACACTGATTGACAATCAATTTCACATGCTGTTGTGCAAATGGAATAGACAACAGGTGGAAAGCATAGGCAGTTAGCAAGACATCCCCAATAAAGGAATGGTTCTGCAGGTGGTGACCACAGACCAGTTCTCAGTTCCTATGCTTTCTGGCTGATGGTCTGGTCACTTTTGAATGCTGGCGGTGCTTTCACTCTAGTGGTAACATGAGACGGAGTCTACAACCCACACAAGTGGCTCAGGTAGTGCAGCTCATCCAGGATGGCACATCAATGCGAGCTGTGGCAAGGTTTGCTGTGTCTGTCAGCGTAGTGTCCAGAGCATGGAGGCGCTACCAGGAGACAGGCCAGTACATCAGGAGACGTGGAGGAGGCCATAGGAGGGCAACAACCCAGCATCAGGACCACTACCTCCGCTTTTGTGCAAGGATGGACAGGAGGAACACTGCCAGAGCCCTGCAAAATGACCTCCAGTGGGCCACAAATGTGCATGTGGCTGCTCAAATGGTCAGGAACAGACTCCATGAGGGTGGTATGAGGGCCCGACATCCACAGGTGGGGGTTGTGCTTATAGCCCAACACCGTGCAGGACGTTTGGCATTTGCCAGAGAACACCAAGATTGGCAAATTCGCCACTGGCGCCCTGTGCTGCTCACAGATGAAAGCAGGTTCACACTGAATACATGTGACAGACGTGACAGGGTCTGGAGACGCTGTGGAGAATGTTCTGCTGCCTGCATGACTGGTTTGGCAGTGGGTCAGTAATGGTGCGGGGTGGCATTTCTTTAGGGGGCCGCACAGCCCTCCATGTGCTCACCAAGGTAACCTGACTGCCATTAGGTACTGAGATGAGATCCTCAGACCCCTTGTGAGACCATATGCTGGTGCGGTTGGCCCTGGGTTCCTCCTAATGCAAGACAATGCTAGACCTCATGTGGCTGGAGTGTGTCAGCGGTTCCTGCAAGATGCTATGGACTGGCCTGCCCATTCCCCAGACCTGAATCCAATTGAGCACATCTGGGACATCATGTCTCACTCCAGCCACCAACGCCACGTTGCACCACAGACTGTCCAGGAGTTGGGGGATGCTTTAGTCAAGGTGTGGGAGGAGATCCCTCAGGAGACCATCTGCCACCTCACCAGGAGCATGCCCAGGCATTGTAGGGAGGTCATACAGGCATGTGGAGGCCACACACACTACTGAGCCTCATTTTGACTTGTTTTAAGGACATTACATCAAAGTTGGATCAGCCTGTAGTGTTTTTTTCCACTTTAATTTTGAGTGTAACTCCAAATCCAGACCTCCCTGGGTTGCTAAATTTGATTTCCATTGATAATTTTTGTGTGATTTTGTTGTCAGCACATTCAACTATGTAATGAACGAAGTATTTAATAAGAATATTTCATTCATTCAGATCTAGGATGTCTTATTTTTGTGTTCCCTTTATTGTTTTGAGCAGTGTATATTTCAGAGAGAAAGTTACCATTCTCTTCTCTTCCATTTTGAAGTATCTAAGCAGGGGTAGAAAATATGCAAGACATAAGCAGCTCCAACAGTCCCTCTTACTCTTTGAACAGAGACTGAATGGTCACCTATCAGAGATGCTTTGGTCGATGGATTCTATAGTGAGCAATATAGGACTAGATGATATCTAAGCCACCTTTCGAACTTGATAATTATCAGATGCCTGCCTATCTAAGAAAATGTTTAAACGTCTGAATAAGAAAATGCTTAACTCATAGACTAAGTTAACTTAAACCAAGCTAAACGGCCATGTAGAATAATTTTTCATGCTTGCTGTGTCATAGTTTGTACCTAATAAAGTATTAAACGAATGTTAAATGCTTTAACGCTATGATAGTTGTATTACAATCTAGGAACCACACGTGATTGTACAAAGCATGCAACTTTACCTTGAACTGGGACGTGAATCCTTTTAGCCAAATTCTTTGTTATCTCCAATTAACAAAAAGAGCTGATCACATTAACTCCTGAAAAAGAATCATAGCTGTGGGGTGAAACTCATCTTTTGCCTGCAAAGAGTCAGACTGAGGCTGGCTATTTGCAGTTAGAGCAGATGGCTGGTAATGAGAAATACCCCTGCTGCCAATCATAGTAAGACATGGCAAGGACAGACGGGCCAGTAGTTTCACTTGGAAGAAAGCAGCTCTCTGGCTATGTACACCTGGAAAGACTGGAAATTGAAGTGCACTACTAGAGCACATGCATTTCTATTTAATTGTGGATCTTCCTCCATATCATTGCTCACTATGTCAATCTAGAGATAGGGGATGGGTAAAATAGTATTTTATTCATCATTTAAAGCATAAGTGTAAACCTACCAATGAAAAACATAATTATCAATGAAAATTGTTAAATGTAGAGTTTTAACTAAAACATTAGATATTTCCTTAATGTTTGGTTTCACCACATATCAGTGTTCTGCATATGTTAGTAGATAAAAGTAGAACCTATATAGGTATAGTTCTATAGAATTACACATTCAAAGGGAAAGCTCAAATTAAAACCTGACTTTGTAGAAAATAATACTGCAGAATGCCAGAGGTTCCTGCTCGTTTTTTGTTTTTTTTCATGAGATGGTATCCTTCTGCTGGTTACTTAATCGTGTCTGATTGTCTTTTGTTACTACTTGGACTCGGAACTTCTATAACAGCCATCTCCAACTTTTACAGCTTTGCAGATTTGGGGTGAGGGGGATAGTTCTACACAAGTGGCAGGCGAGCGCATGCATGCCCACTGCTTGCACAAATGGAACTGCGTGTGTGCACTTGCCCGCAGGCTGTGTGTGCAAGTGGAGTTGCATGCGTGCACATACTTGCCACCACTTCTGCAGTGTGTTTCTGAATGGGCTGCAATGAAGTAGTGGGCTACGGCCCAAGGGCTATAGGGACCCCTGTTTTATAATAAAAAGACATTTCCCAAACAGTTATCTTGTTTCTCCCAGATACTAGGATTTTTTCAAGCTGATAAGAGAATGCAGTCAAAAATATTTGTTTTTGTCCCGCTAGGGCTTAGTTTATTATGTCAAATCAAAGGGTTTTCAACTTTCCTACTTGTTACTTGTAACCTGAATACTAACTAGTATGTTTGTGTCTCTTTCCTACTTTTTTCCTGCAGCCATCTTAATTTAGGGGTTTTCTGTAATTAGAAATTTTGTACAACTGCTATCTTATTTCATCCATCTACTGTAGGGGTGGAGACCCCTACATTCTATGTCAACATTCTCAAATCCCTACGGTTGTTAGCTCCATAGACTATTTTTTAAAGCTCTGAATTGTTCTTACTTCCTTGTCTTTAGCTCTTGCTGCCAAACGCTGTCCACTGACATTTGGAAACCTTTTCCACTCCCTCTCTAAGATCTTGCAGCATCTGAGTTTTTCCTCTCCCCCCTTCCTCCACTCCCCCTGAGCTCTCCCAGTCTTGGAGCTGGCTTGTGGACCTCTGCACTGTTGCTCTCAGAGTGGATGCTCCAGGTCCATTTTTGCAGATGTTAGCTGGGCTCTTCCCTGTGGGTCTGGCCATTGGGAAGCTGTTCCAAGGAATGCTATTCCTTGTGTTATCCTGGGATTGAAATATTGAAAGTATTGAAATTCCAGATCTCAGGACCGAAGAAAAGGGCTTGCATATCTGAGGCATTCTTTCACACCAGGCTGCCTTTTAGTAGCTGCTATTTCCATGTGCACTAAGTTCTGAGACTGACTTCTGCTTTAAGTATCTATTCTTCACTTCATGTTGTAAATGAATTTCAGAGCAGAGAGCAGGCTTTTCAGTGCTATAACATGAGTAGTAATAGTGAGAATGTTTATAGAATGCCTCTATTTCAATCCTATTTGCAATTAAACTGAATTATCTGAAATTCTCTTCCTCTCCACTATCCCAGAACTAAGTAATAAGAGCAAAAACCAAAAACCATAACCACACACTGCCAAAATTCAACCATTTTGTGGATGAATCTTCTGCTCAAGATCTTGGAGAGCTTTGGCGATGGGGTGTAGCCCATGGTCCACAGGTTCCTCCACTGTTATACTTTATTAAATTAAATTCCACAGTCAGTAAATCAGTCATTTTGTTTCAATCTTTCACCAACAAAAGGTTCTATAGTCTTGTTGAAGTGGTCTGGAGATAAACGATGGCTTAGGAAAGGAGAGGAACAAAATAAATGGGGAAAAAAGCACTATCTCTTTACATTGTAAGATTAGGACCCACAGTGAGTTAATTTCTAAAATAATTGGTGTATGTTTTCTAGAAAGCCAGGCTCATTCTATGAATTAATATGGTTATGGAGAATTGCAGGAAAAGAAAAAAGGTGGAGGTGAAAAAAATGAAGTGAACTGTCAAGGAATTTATTTTTAAAACTGCATTCCTACAAAACTGTGATGATCTGCAAGTTGTTGGTTTCTTAGGAAAAGCAACCTGAAATAACAGCATGACTACTTACATCACCCACATTGCTGTGATGTAATTGGCTCTGGGTATGTCCTCATTATATTAATGCGAATGAGAAAATACCTGTAATCTCTCAAACTTTGCCTCCTTCCTTTAGAATGTGATCCCTTTACATCCCTTTACACTAGGATGTGTAAAAAGTACAATAAGTACTGAACTTACGAAAAGTACAGTAAGTACTGAATCTTTACCAGTAAAGTGAGAGTTGTATTTGGGAGAGAATACAATGTTAAATTCGTAAATTCATTCTTTTATTTTTTTTTGCTAACGAGCCTCAGTTACTGAGGCCACATGTAGAGGGATGAAACTTGATGGCTCTGTGACAAATCAGAGATCTCTAGAAAATTGGTTTGCTTTTTTGTTCCAGTCAGGCTATTCTGTAGAGGGCTTAAGTTTCAGAACCAAGAATATCTTTATTTCTTAGAATTTCAGTTATATTACCTGCATGGTCTGAATAACTGCTATTTCCTCTTTTTCACTCTAGGAACTACTTGTTCAGGCTGCATAGTGAGAATCTTTCTCTAATCCAGGTAAGCTTACCTGTATGGTAATTTTAAAAAATACAATTTTCATCTTTTTAACTTCATCTTTATTTATAAAGTCACTGAAAACCTCAGCGTATAATTTGACTTATAATGTAGGTCCGGGGTGGGCAACTACAACTACTTTAACAACCTATGGACTTCAACTCCCAGAATTCCTGAGTCAGACATGGCTCAGTTCAGAAATAAAGAACTTGAAATTCTGTTCCTGTTTTCTTTTTAGCTTGATTCCTTTCCATGTAAATGGATTTTTATTTTATGATAGAGGGGCTATGTTATAATAGAGTGGCTACCGCAACAGTCATATAAAGCATAGAATTGGTATAGCTTGGAAAGCATAAAAGTAGTAAGAACAGATTCAGTTTCTCTTCTAATTTCATTCTGTTCTATTGAAAAATGAAAAAAAAAATGCATCCATTTGAGTTGTTTCCTTGCCAGGTAATGAGGAAGCAGACCTACATTTTTTGTAACCCTGCTCCAGAATTTGAGATTGACAAAGATTCCCTTCCTCATCATCACCATAATTTCAAATGATCCAGAGTGGATTGGGCCATTTTGACCCTTGAAGTGCATTGTGTAGCCTTTACGCAGCCCAATGATAATTCAAATGAAATCACAGCAAATCTCACCATGTTGGAAAGGCTGTGACTAGACAAGAGAAGCAGTCAACCACTCTGTTTGCTCTCCAATTGGTGCATAATTTCAAGTTCTCTGCTCTCTTTTCTTCTATTTTTACTTTAGATTCAGATGGGTATTTTCTTTTCCACATAATGTACAGCAGTGTATTCATTCATCCTCTTTTGAACTGTGGAAGGCACGATGTTATGTTGAATATAATGGAGGAAGTGGATCGAGACTGATTGATCTGTGTGCTCACCTGCTTACTCCATAAAATGCCAAACTAGACTATGGGCTTGTCTTAGTTTGCTAGCGGCCTGGACTGCAGACAACAGGACAGATAGAACTGAGTTTTCAGTATCTCCAATTTTGTGATTAGACAATTTTTCTGTTAAATTTAGTATTAGAGCTATTTTCCTCTGCAGGGCTGGGGGAGTGATATACATGAAAATGTCTCAGTTGCACTATTGTGGCCACACTGTTCACTTTTTTTTTTTTTTTTACTACAGCCTTCTAATGTTCATTTGATAGCTCACTTCATGAATGCCTTGAATTGTTGTTTAGAGCTCTTCTGCAAGAGATGTTACAGAAAAATTTGGTTTTGCCAGTATGGGGACTCAATTTTGACAGAGCTAGGCCAGTATAAATGGTCAAGTGCCAGGGAAATCAGGAGATTCAGGCAATTCAATTGAATATCAAGATTTATTGCAAGGTTAAGCTCTCTACAAGAATCTGAACTACTAACTGTCAAGGGAAATTAATGTGAACTATGAATAGAAAGGAATTCAAGGTGGGCTGGACTTAGCTCTCTTCTAGCTGTGTAGGTACTTATGCGTGATGATGTGTTTGACTTCCTCCCTTGGGCTCAGCTTGATCATCTTCCAGAATAAGTTCTACCATGAATCCCCTAATTTTCCTCTTTAAATCTACCTCCAGACGTAGTTATCTTGATTGGCTCACAACTAATCAAAGCATTATAAGGTTAATGTTCAACTACACAAACTCCACACAAACTAATATAATCATGGCAACAAACTAAGTGCTTTATAAGAGTCTGTACTTTGTATTTTCATTGTAGAAATTGGATAGAACTTGTAAATCTACCTCTGGATTTAATGTGTCATTGAATTATGTTTACCTTCAGTCTTTAAAGATGTCTTTGTAGGCACATGCAACACTTGGTTACATATGCATCCAAGGACAAAAACCAATGAATAAGCCTCTTTATTATAAAGAAAGTTTTGTGTATTTGCCTGCTTTTGTTTGCATTGCAAAGGTAGCTGCCATTGTTATATGATGAATGAGTGGAATTCTGATGTGCCCCACATCAATAGAATAAGTTAGTCATTGTAGCTTAAAACTTATTGATTTTACTATAACTCAAACATAACATTCTGGGTTGTGGCAAGAGTGTCCAAAGCAGCTGCCTGTGCTTAAATTCCCATGTTGGGGGAGGGGAGAGGAGGGTGGAGGCTGCCCTTGTGCACAATATTCATGAAACAAATGCTTAGGACCACATTTTATAAAACAAATGTTTTCATTGCATATTTCTCAGAATTCCTTATTTTCTATAAATATTTGATGGTATAAACTGAGCTGAAGATTGGTCTAATGGTGAAGGCACCAGGCTGGAAACGGAGAGACCATGAATTCTAGTCCTGCTTTATACAGGAAAGTAGACTAGGTGACTTGGGGCCAAACACAAACTCCCAGCCCAGCCCACTTCAGTGGGTTGTTTTTATGGGGAAAATAGGAGGAGGAAGGAGTGTTGTGTATGTTTGCTGCCATGAGTTATTTATAAAAAAAATAAAGCTGGGAGAAAAATAAATACATAAATAAAACATTAATGCTAAGTGGAAATGCATAAAATTGCATTATAAATATGTACATGTTTATGAAAACCATGATTCAACCATGCCTCCCTGCAACATGGACATTTATGATACACATTAATGACCAACTCTGATGGACACTGTGGCCAACACCATTTTCACTTCAAGAATAGAGTGTATGTGAATATGTGAAAGGTAAGAGGTAATTAGATTGCCCCCTAAATTATATTTCATGATTTGATAAGTTAAAAACTGGATGTTTTAATGTTTAAGTCAGAATTTCAAATTGGTTGTATAATTTATTAAAAGTTTGATCTTGAGAATTAAGTGGAGTTTTAAAATTTCTTATATGCTTGGAAGAGTCACTGCACACTTGATCATGTCAGAACAGCTCATTAAGATGAAATGGCTTCAAACTCGACACAAGGCATGCTGAGCTTAAAATATTTTGATATGATCATACTTTTATATTTTATACATTAACTTTGTTACATGCAAAGGAGGGTGGAGGAGGAGGGGGATCATGGGGCCATAATTATTTAAATGGAATTTAATGCTCTCCAGTGTTTCATTCCAGATTTTTTTAATGATTATAATAGTTTGCATATTTGTTGAGGAGGGTTGTGTTTCAGAAATTGGGGATTTAGTTGTATTTATCCTTATTTTATTTTTTGATCTTGATTGTTTAACAACATTGGGTGTAGCACAAGCACCTCTATTTCTATATAATTATATAATTATATAATTCTAGACCTAGAAAACCTAGAACTATGCCGCCTTCGGTCTGATCTAAGTATAGTATATAAAATCATACATTGCAATGTCCTACTTGTCAATGAATACTTCAGCTTCAACCATAACAACACAAGAGCAAACAATTGATACAAACTCAAGGTTAATCGCACCAAACTTGATTGCAGGAAATATGACTTCAGCAACAGAGTGGTCTATGTCTGGAATACTGTACCTGACTCTGTGGTTTTTTTCCCCAAACCCCAAAAACTTTAACCTTAGACTGTCTACTATTGACCTCACCCCTTTCCTAAGAGGTCTGTAGGGGGCATGTATAAGCGCACCAATGTGCCTGTCCTATTGTTTCTTTTATATTTTTTAAAAATTTTCTTATATGTATCCATGTATTCATAGCTATGTTTTTATATATACCTATTATCTTGTAAGCAATTGACAAATAAAAATAAATAAATAAATAAAATAAATAACGTGAGATTCTGGACTTTAGAGAGAGATGAATATGAAGTGCACAACTTAAATTTCCTTTCTTCCCTCTCTCCCATCATTTCTGGCATGTCTGTATTTTGACTGTGTTGCCCCCCACCCAAAAAAAGAATAAAAGACAATTTACCAATCCTGATGAATAAATACTACACTAAACACATGCTGGTTTCACAATCTAAATTTTATTAATATATCTTTCTTCTGCTGCTATTTCTCCACTTTCTCTGACATCGTGCCATTTCTTTCTGGGATAAGCAAAACACACAGAAAGAGTGAGAAATAATAATGCAAATAAATTAAAGCATGAGTTTTACAAAACAAGAAAATGTAAATATAGATTATGGTCACAATACCTTTCTATAACTTCCTATAATTGTAATCTAGTTTTGCTTCGGCTAGGTTAATACACTGCTTCATATGTTGCCTTTCGTTCCTTAAACTTTTCATTTCTCTCTTTTTCAGGATCTCATTGCCTCCGCTCAACTGTATCTTTCTCAACCTTCTGCTTCCTTTGAAGCCATTCAATCTTCTTTCATATATTTATTTTGTGATTCGATCCTTGTTCATTCTCTCTGTGTGACAAACTACTTCAACATAGCTACTTTGTATTTGCCACCTGTATTCTTGCTTTATGTACTTTATATGTAACCAATTCCCACCTCTGCACATTCAAGTTTTGCGTTTCTCCTGATGGGTATAATCAATACTCACTACTGTAAAGCAAAATGGGCAAAAACATTGCCATTTTAATTTATTTAATAGATTTCTGGCAATACATTGTAGGCTATCCACTAACCCTCTACCAGAATTTCCTATTAAAATCTAAAATAATTTTTACAATTCTGTTCACTCTGTTTGAACCTTGTTTGTTTTTCCTCTCTTTTCCTATTTCCTGAAGACTTTAATTTCCATCAAAACCACTCTGCATTTTCTTTGCCTCTTTTTATATTTACTTTTCCTTGCTCTCCTTAATTATATTATTTCCACTATCTTTTTCTCTCTTTTCCCAGTAATAACTTTTGCAGCTGTCACTCGCTAGTGTGTCTTTTTCTCATCCACAGTCACTTTTATGTCATCACTCCACAGAATATTCTTTTTTCATGCTTTCCATTAGCACATTTCATACACTTCTATGGTATTGTATAACTTAATTCATTTTGCTTCTACATCCTTTTTTAATATTAGGAAAAATGAGATTCATAGATTAAATAAGATAGAATGATTTTCCACTCATTCTGTTGGGAAATAGTTCTATCTTCAAATATATTTTTCACAATAAAGCTCATACCTTTTTTGGTTGTC